AAATGTAAATGTATATATATATGTGTGTGTCTGTGTGTGTGTGTGCGTGCGTGCGTGCGTGCGTGCGTGTGTGTGTATATATGTATATATATATGTGTGTCTGTGATTTTTTTGTGTGCGTGTGTGTATGTATGTATGTATGTATGTATATATATTTATAAATATATGTGTCTGTGTTTTGTGTGTGTGGGGGGTTTTTTTTGTGTGTGTGTATGTGTTTCTGTCTGTCTGCGTTTCTGTGTCTGTGTGTGCGGGTATGAGAGTGTGTGTGTCTGCGTGCGTATATATATATATATGTGTGTGTGTGTGTGTGTGTGTGTGTAAGTGTGTTTGTCGGACTGTCTGTGTCTTCCTGTGTCTGTGATAGTGTGTGTGTGTAGACCTCTGAGTTGACATCTATGTCAGGATCTACAAGGAAGACTTTGTGTTGGTTGTTACCGTATATAATGATCAGAGCATGTAAATGGTGCATATATTTCGTTGATGCAACCTGATGGAAAATTATAGGCAAGCCTTTATGACAAGATTTTAAAAGAATGGCTCTACTTTTTAAACATGGGTGGTTTATACTGAATCTGTCTGTTGTCGTTCTCCAAATAACCCACTTGTATTACCAACAGGATTTTGTGCATGTCAAACTAGAGAAGATCGGCTTTAGCTGCGGTCAATCTCTCGCAGAAAGGTATTGAAATCCAATCCAATTTTATCGATGTGAAGCAACTTCGTTGTTTTTTTTGAATATCGAAGTGCACAATGTTTGTTTCTTTCTCTGTGCTTTCGTAGGCACCATTAGCACGACTAGGATCACTATTGATATCCGGCACCACCATTACTACCAACTGCCTGCTCATGGAGCACATATAATCCGGCTTGCATTTCGAGGCATGGGGAAGTTTGCTTACAGCTATCTGTCTAACGCCTGGATATAGGTTAACGCAGGACACACCTCGGATGACCGATCAATTAGAGGTCATCAAATTCATATGCAAAGATTTTTGGATGAATCTCTTCCAGAAACAGGTGGATAACCTTCGGACCAATCACAAGGTACGTCCGCTTCTCTCGTCGGGTGTGAGAGTCTCTCTTTTAACTTTTTTTGTGCATGCTGTGAGCTATTGTGAGCATTTATTGTTTGACCACACCTGTGCTGAGGCTGTCGGTATAATCAATATCGCTAGCGCTCTCGTTGCTGTACAACATAGTGACAGCCGACCTTTTTCCTGATATATTTATATATTGCTCACAATTCGCGACAGGGCGTGTATGTACTGCAAGACAACAAATTCCAAACTTTCGCACCCATCGCCAACGGCACCCAATATATCGAGCAGATGTCTCCGGTAGGTGTTTATATCACCTTAGGAAATAGTAGAGAACACATGTACATTCGAATAAGCATTAGAGGTGGAATATACTATTGCCAGAAGTGCTCTACTATAGTTTTGTTGCTCTGGTGGCTGCTGATTGTTTTGGCTTCGCACTTTCAATTTCTTCTCTGCTATGAGGTGACTTTATGTCGTACTTATCGTTGAAGTTGTACCTAGTGTTGTTTTTGTCGCAACATAAAATATACCGAGGTGCACATACCGTTGTATTGTCAAGCTGCTAGTTGTGCTGTGTTGTCTGCAATCTCACGATTTATACGGCGATTCGATTGTTGTCCCTGTTTCCGCATCACTTAACCAACTTTGCGGATATCACCACACACCAGTTGACTTTGGCCGCTGATTATCGTTTCCAAATTCGGCTGCTCGTTGTGAGGTGCACCTGTGTGTACATTATTGTGAACCCTACTGCGGTATCATATTGACCTTGCTTTCCAATATAGTGCGTGTATGCACGCGCTCAAAAGTTGACCATTTTCACATGCATTGTTGCACATTAGCTGTTGTTCGCACTTCAATTCACTGCAGGTAGGTTCACGACAGGCCACGCTTCGGTTTGCTAACAGCGACGTACTTCCCACTCACACTCGTCGACGGAAGACACGCCATAGACTAGTTTGTGCTGTTTGTAGGCAACGTTGTCAAATAGCTATGGAGCACTCTGCTCTCATATACTGAGCATTCTTCTGTGTACTCTCCCACAGTTCTTAGCCATGCCTTGTGGACTCATCCGCGGCGCCTTGGCGGCGCTTGGACACACAGCCACTGTACATGCGGACGTGGTCAACATGCCCGCCTGTACGTACTCTGTGCGTGTTTATGCGGATTTTCTTGTATAAATATTTGTCCCATTTTCATATGTGTATGCATACAGCAGCCGATGTGTACTCAAATGCGTTTGCGCATGGCAATGGTGGACACTATAATATGAACCTGTATGCGTGATTATTAGAGATTTCCATTCAGGTCAGCTGTTTGCATGTGTGTGTGTAGGTGTTAATCTTCGCTTTACCGGCCATATTGAGATTTATCATAGAAGACATACCCGTTTGTCAAAGATTTCAGTGCGTTGCCTAACCAACTCTATATGCGAGGTCGGACGGTGGCATAAAAAAAAATTGTCATTCGCTTTTACACCGATAGCCTACGCAGATGCACGCCCACCACCGACACATTTGGCAGAATGTGAAAGCAGTCTGTTGGTTCACTTTCTGTGCCTCACTTGCCTTTCACTGATTTTGCAAGTTCGAACTCTCTTTTAGTTAGCAGTAGACTTCATTTAGAAACTTTCTCCTGTGCGGCGTATAAACACCCCTCGCTGGTCTGCCCTGGAATGGGTCAATATCCTCTTACTAGATTTCACGAGTTGTTTGTCATCTAGAGTATTTATACCAAATAGGTAGATCTTGTTATGATACGAAGTTATTACTTACATAAGTAGGTAAAATAACGAATCAACTGTGCATAATTCATATCTGAGCTGTAACCCTTCTCAATCTTCAAATCTTATTCGCAAATTGGTATAGTAGAGTGAGCTTGTAGGGAGATTTATACTGGTAATTGCATGCTTGCCACTTGGATGCAATTTGTTCTGTCACTAATCTATACACCTGACCTCTTACTATTTGTATGCACAGGTACGTTCCAAATAAGAATACAAAGGATGGAGACGGAAGCTATACAATAACACATCCAAGAAGCAGCAATTTAAATTATAAATGTACTGACAAACAGCCAATTATTTGTATGTATTGTAAATAAAGCGTACCAAATTTCTACCACCAAATGTAGAATCGTAACGAACTATGAAGCAGGATACATAGAAGACTGGCAGCATCCACGCAGCTCTAAGGAAGCAGACTTACATTGAAGGAGGAAGAATTTCTCGTTACGAATCATCTTGCTGTGTTTTAGTTATGAGGCCGAGCTAAGCTTATGAAGCCAAATGATTTTTAGAAAAAAAGCGGGTTGAGTGACCAATATTTATTGAGCCTAATGTAAGTGACAGCAAAGAGCATCGTTGCTTTCTTTTTGCCCTTATTTCATTTATTACTTGCTGCCAAACTGGACCTTTCATGACGATACAGTTCACCGCTCGTAATCAAGAAGAGGTGGGAAGCTGAACCGAGGCCAAATACCTATGCTGATGTTATATCTCATCATTTTATTACTATAGCTTTTCCAGCAAAGGAGCTTTGGTTGGTATATTTCGTATCACTATCTCGCTGAACAACGCAACAGTATGCCAAATTTATATTTGTGTCGTTGCTGTACGTACCTCCATTCGTTTCGAGCTTCAAAGAGTCTGCGACTATCTAAAGAGACTAGAGCCAGACTGTTTATTAAGTACAAGCAATACAGGTGTCAATGAATCCCCCTAGACTTGCAGACAGCAACTGTTAATAAGGGTTCAAAGAAATGTGTCCGACTGAATGTTAAATCGGATGTCCATCAAAATCAAAAAGTAATCACGTCTATGTATAAATGGCCAGACGCCTAGTAAGATACGATGCATCTGGTGCAGAAAAGACAGACATGGGAAATGCAAACAAATCTATACAATACTAAATGAGGCTACTAAAAGGAATACCTAGAAGCTCTCAGAAATACAAAACCCTAAACCGCTAAACCCACAATTCATCGAAATGTGTCCGACTGAATGTTAAATAGAATGTCCATTAGAATTAAAAAGTAATCACGTCTATGTATAAATAGCTAGACGCTTAGTAAAATACGATGCATCTGGTGCAGAAAAGACAGACATGGGAAATGCAAACAAATCTATACAATACAAAATAATGCTACTAATAGGAATACCTAGAAGCTCTCAGAATTACAAAATCCTAAACCGCTAAAACCACTATCCATCCTTGAGACACCTTAATAGCAACGATACGCGTATCTATTAATTGGCAGAGTGAACGTGATGAAGCTAAAAATAAAATGCCCCGAGTTGAGCTGCAAGTACACATATGGAGATTACCTAACAGCATCTTAGAAACACAACAATTGCTGAATTTATGCTCAGGATTGAAACCAGATACGATCAAAAAGTGCTCAACTTGGGCGTCAAGTAAATTCGTATTAGCCGCCGAGATAGTGTAATTTATTTATAACCAAATTTACATTTGAGGTAGCTTTGCGTGGGCACAGTGGATAAGCATTTACAATGAGGTTCTTCGGTCTACCACGCACACTTGAAGTGCATTCAATAATCCACCCCTTATATTACAACTTTGTGGTTAAAGCACATACAGCCAAGGCGCGGCTACAGTGTTCAATATCCCTACGAGCACAATGAAGTCACAGGAACTGGTTTTAGGGGTTGATGTTGCCTGTCTGCGTCACAGCTTATAATGAGCCGTAATTTTCATACTCATGTACTTGGTTTTTCCAGTGTCTCGCCTTCAGTAGTCATATACTATCTAGTTATAGATTACCACTGATGAGCCCGAGACGTCATTGTAGTATCGACAACGTACGGCTACCTTGTTCAGATGTATACTTTGCGATAAGACATTCGGGTGATGCCTTGCCCAGGATGAGAACCATATTGATGTATATAATAGATCTATCCACCCAAAAAATCGTTTTTCATATGCTATTGTACACTACATTACAAATCTCTTGGTAGATCGTAGTAAGCAGAAGTTACCTGTTTTTGAATTTCTGCAGTGTATTAGGTAGGTAATAGTAAATTTGGTTCGTGAATCCTTTTTCGACGCTACTCATAGTCTCCTAAAAAATGATATTCGACGTTAAATTTTATTGATGAAGAGTACTTGGTTTGCTTTTGTTGCGGGTAGGGTGTGAACACAAATAACCAAGTTTTACTCGTAATGGCATAGCGGATCTGACTGTTCCCCATTCAACTACTTATATTACTATTCTCCAACTTATTTTAGAACTAGCGATGTACATTCTTATTAATATTTAGTTGCTTCTTTGGTCAACCATTCTCACTGTTGACAACTTTATTCGTTTTATTTATTTATTTCCATCCTTCACATTAACTACCGGCATGCCTGCAGTAACGTTTTGGTGAAGAAATTGATGTTTATGTAGAGACTAAGAAAGATGTTGATCGGGCTAGACAGTCGGAAGATCACTCGAGCCTGGACTGGTGTCAAGTAAGCCTAGGCCATAACGCGCATGTTTCTTAGGGACGCGTTATGGAACTCTGCAAGACGTAACTTTCCATCAGAGACCTTACTCTACATTGTATCGCTTCTTGTACAGCACGAACAGGCAATCGAAGCCTGCTCTTATACGGTGCTTCCGTGAGAACACAGCTTTCTGTGCTAAAATTTTACGGAGTCCATCTTTCACTCCCGTGTTAAGCGCTGGTTGCTTTTTTCTTTAGCTGAGTTGAGGTTGATGTCACCAATGGTGAATCTTAAGTCTTTCCTCTCTGTTGCGCTAGGCGATGGTTCATAAGCCAGGTCTACGCAGGTGCCACCGGTCGAACAATCAGCAGAGACCGTGTCGTAGAAAAAGACTCGCCTTGCGGCCGAACTCGAGCGAAAGGCAGATGCCGCTGGAAAAGCGAAGCAGCCACCGCTCACCTCGGATGCGGCGGAACGGACGCAACACGATCAACCATGCCGAGCTCTTCAGTGGCCATTCAGCCGTGCAATACCGCCGAAGAAGCGCGAGTAGTGCTAATGTTTCGATACGCGGGACATAAGAGCACTAGCCTTGTCATGTAACTATTAACGCTCGAGACGAAATATATTCCCCGTAAGTTTTTCTTCCTGTCATCCATCCATCCCGCATTTAGGGAAGTTCTCATACCCCTCTGCCCACGCAGCCAATGTCGAGCACAAGGGTGCCTCCAGAATTGCATTGATGACTTTGCAGGCGATCGTGTTGCAGGCAGTAACCCGATGTTCAAGCAGCAGCGCAAAATCGTGGTTAGAGAGAACACAAATCACCAGCGATACTTTGATGAAAAGCAGGACCGATACGATGTCGAAGAGCGTCGTCGTGGGCGTGACGATCGTCACTGGAATGACGAAAGGGACAGGCGTGACCGCTACTACCGTGACGAGAACAATCATCCCCCACGTTCTTCCCCCGAGTCGTTGTACAGGCCTCACACCCCCGCTCTCACCTCCAACGGCAGTCACGACGACAAGCAGGCCAAGCAGGCGTCTCTCCCAGTTAAGGCGACTTCAGGCCCCACCACGCGTCTGGAGTATGTCAACTGATTCGCTTACGGCAAGCCAGGACACGAAGCCGCGAATTGCCCGGAGAGCAGCAGCCTCAACCAAGTCAAAATCACTTTTTTGAATCGGGCCGGCGGTCCATGGTTATGTACATAATGTGAAATATATTTATTAAAAAAATTGGTTCGGCGTACAACTTCGTCGACGAACAAACACTGAATATATTACAACTCTTCTATACTCATACTCAGGATCACTAATACACGGCTTGTACGGGATGGGTGTTATTATCCCCACTAAGCAGGTCGACATCCACGTTGATGTGTATACAGTTAACGGCTGTCTAACCACTCGCGCACAGCGGTGGTTAGTTACAAGCGACATTCCTTACAACTCGCACTTCCATCTCAAGTACGAGACACAGTGTAATCGCAGATGGGCTCGTTCTTCGATATGAATTACAATCTTTTTGTAAACCTTGACGTAGACCCATGGCGCAAGTGTGTGTGTTGCGTACTCTGCCGGCATACTGTGACCACAGTAATCAACACCGCGCGACGTACTTCCAAGCACCGTACGAGAGGGTGAGACAAACAGCGGCAGAATAACGCCATTCGGCTGCAAAACGAGTTGCGTCAGTGAGGACTTCAGCAGCTGCAACCACTCTTGACGTGGTGCGGTGCTGCTGTGTCTGCTGACGTCTCTCGAGAGCTACCCTTGCCGAAAAAAGAAATCCCACATGTCGTCCCTCCGACGAAAGCAACGCCGGCACCTAGGCACTTCCAACGCGGAGCTAGATTTTCTGTGATTCCCCTTACTGGAACAGTATAAACCCGGCGTTACAACGATAGCGCCCTCGGTTTTGAGTCCGGCTAACGGCGGATTCTCCGTATCTCTTAGCGCTCTCATATGCTGGAGCAGCAGTGGAGCACTATCTGCTACTCCAGCGTTACCCAAACATTATGAATTGTCAATGTACAACCCTCGTGAGAGGATGGTTACGCTGTGTGATGAAGATGAGAACGGTGTTTTTGAATCCACCGGTTTCAAACACTTGGGGGCTGAAGCAGGTAAGACCAGTATGTACAACCCTCGTGAGAGGATGGTTATGCAGTGTGATGAAGATGAGAACGGTGTTTTTGAATCCACCGGTTTCAAACACTTGGGGGCTGAATCAGGCAAGACCAGTGCCAAAGTTGCTGAAGCTGTACAGATACTTAGCTCGGTCGCCTATGACCCGGAGAACCACTGGCTTGCCAAATTTGACCCAATCTCTCTAAAACTGTATGATAACGCGCAACGAAAGTGCTAACCGCGGTATCCTCATATGTCACTCGATGCCAGGAACAAGTGGCAAGCCAGTATCAAAATGGCTTAAAAGGTACCCGGCAGAGAGCCGCCCCCGTTTTCTGAAGGCCTCGACGATTAGCGGTTCTGCATGGATCTTAGCAGGTAGAAAGAGTCCATAGACTCAGAACTCTACCCTGTACCCACGAAAGCAGACATGTATGATTTCGTGGTGGACAAACCTTATATATCTGCCCTTGACTGTGGTAACGGCTTCAATCAAGTCAAGCTTACGGAGGAGGCTCCCAATATTATAATATTTTGGACCCCTTGGGGTCGATTTTCGTACGTCGGTATGCTGGTTGGCGTTCACGAAGCGTCCTGGTGGTACCAGGAAATCCTTGCGGAGGTCCTAGATATGTTACACCATGTTATCTGGTATATAGATGACATTGTCACTGCCAATGACACAGCCGAGGATCACTGAGCCAGTCCTCGTGCGGTACAGGCAATACGATATACAGCTTGGTCTATGTAAATACCACATAACTTTCTTTAGACAACCCGTGACCATCCTGGGGCGCAGAGTTGACTTCAGAGGTGAGTCCCTTACGGACGAACAGCTAGCCCGCTGGCCTGGTTTGCGACGGTTTGGTCGTATATTATAGCGTTGGCTGGGAACCTCTTGTGAACCAGTCGTAGACTGGGGTCTTATTTGAAAACCGGAAACCCTGAGGCAGATATATATTTTTTACAAGAAGATTTCGTAAATGTTTTTGATGACTAATAATGACAAATACCGCGCCGCGCCCCCAATTTGGTCTCGATTTGGATCTGACGAACTTGTCCTGTACCTCTATTGACCATGTTCTGACTCTACGGTGACCCCTTCCTGACCTTAATTTGTCCCTGGATTGACCCCGTGCTGAAATCATTTCGGTTTTTTGTTTACATAACCGTCATGATAACGTCGCTATAAAATGTTCACTGAATATAAACTGAGATGTTCTCCGCCACACGATACAGCGTGTCTAGGTGAAAATTACACAGATATGACAGGCGATGTTTGTTGTGTTATAGAATATGGTCGGATACCGAAAAAGAGTGAAGTGATCGTCCACCATTTCAGAGATAGTTGAAAAAATACTCTGACTGGGCGGACGAACGGTTATGTGAAGATGAAAGTATGCAGCTTACACTTCGACATCGACGACATGGTCGACTACAGACACGGGAAGTGTCCGAGAACATGATGTATGCCGAAGTTATTCCTACCGGATTTAATCGCAATGTTTTCTGATATTAAAATTGAACGCACAGCCCTACCGAATAGTGTCCAATACTAACCTGAAGCATCAGAAGTCTCATATACGTAAGTACCACACGCTGAATTAGACTCTGAATCAACTAAGCGTACAAACACATTAACTGCGAACGAGAGGACAGAACATTTACAGCCAAACCAGTGATGGTCGTATCCGAACTAAAGAACAGGATATCGAACACGAAAATCACCACAGTCATTGTACATCAACTTCTCGTAGTAGACGCATGGATCGGGATATACTGAAAAAAGCAATTGAAGCAATCTGTGGCTTAGAACGTGCGCAGAAAAATATCGAACTCTGCATGATCTTAAAAGTGGATGTGATCGTTGGTAATCGTGTATTTTTGGCACAGAAGTACTATAGATCACTTACTTATATAGTAGCAAACTATCTGGATAACACAACAAACATAGGAGGGTGCTCATTGATGTGCAGTGACACAGACAAAAATTTAGTCTTTAGCAAAATTATGTACTTCCCTGGAAGTGCAGTACCTAATATGCAAACTGTAAATATTGTTTTCACTGGGAGAGTTGTAGATATGCGAAACGGTTCGTTCCATCTAACATATCGCACTCCACTACCCGATCAACAGATGAGCGAATTTAAAGTTGTTTACTCTCAAGCCACGATTGTGCACAAACGATTCAATATTGCTCTCGAGGGATGGTCTAAGAAAGTCAACAATATGCAAACATGAGTGATACACCTAGTATGATAGTGACTTTAGATTACTAATGAAGGGCAATTTCTGATAGCATCTTGGCATTAGAATCAAAGCAATGAACTAGCAAAGAGAAAGTGTCTACCTAGTTTAACAGTGTCAGTAAGCCCACTGCAGCTGATAGGTGACTTTAGATTACTAATGAAGGGCAATTTCTGATAGCATCTTGGCATTAGAATCAAAGCAATGAACTAGCAAAGAGAAAGTGTCTACCTAGTTTAACAGTGTCGGTAAGCCCACTGCAGCTGCTACAGGCAGAACTTTAGAAGGAAACACACAAGAACTGGTGAGATGAACATATTGTCTGAAATATGCTAAGAAGTTAAAAGTTTTTATGGCAAGGTCAACAATTTACACATGAAGTCACACGCACACGCAGACAAACGCATACATACACATACGCTTTATATATGATTATTCACGCATGATAGTAGTATTTATATGCATACGAATAGCAATCAATACAATCTTCTTCTTGAGTAATGCAGTATCAAATATGTGTATATATGTATACTGCATTGATTTTTTTCCAGTGCATAAACCTTTACATACAATTTTACATCTTTATGGATATTTGCTATGTGCAGCGCATGAACTGGTATATACGTCCTTTGAATATTAGCTGCTGTGCTTATGTATGATTAGAATGCGACTGGCGCACTTTGTACAGTGTATTTACTGCAGTGTGATGACTATCTAACTCAACCACCGGAGCGCCGGCCTGATATGCTACCAGCCGCTTTTGCATCGCTTCCATATTGTCCGCAGCCGACGTCACAGGCTCCTCAGAATTATTGTCCTGATCCGCAACCTCATCAATGAGGACTTTCACTATCACTCGACCACACATGAAAACCACGAGCTCTTGGAGTACCTCGAATATCCGTTCGGTATTCTACCGACGGACCTGAGCCAACGCATAAATGGCAGCTGACGTCTCTTTTACTAAACTTCGGCTACATGCCAGCGTACAACTTGGCGTATGCCACCGACCGGTCCGGGTTCGACCGCATGGTCGGCAACATCCGCTGGCTGCTCTATGATCCGGATGTTCTCGATTGCTTGCCCATTACCCAGGCCAGTATACGCAACCTTGGTGCAAATGAGATCTACATGCTTTTTGCACGCCCACAGGTTGTCAGAATCTCCTTAGAGGACCATCGTCGCTTGCTTAACCATGTCTAATTTGACACCTCTCTACCTCGAAACCAATGTCATCAACTCTTTGACGCTACTATATATATAATAGTATCAATCGTTAATTGTCCAACTATACAATAAAATAGAAACTTGCAAGAAAAATACTGATGATGCGGATTTTTTTTGGTGGTGTACGTCCTTCTTACAAACAGCAAGTAGTCCATAAAAACATGTTACGCTACAGTAAAAGAACTTATAATGTAGCAGCTACACATATACTTTCGTATATCTGTGCACGACACAGTACAGGAAAGAGGACCCGAAACACATCAACGTGCTACAACAATTTCAACGCAACCGTCATATATGGGGTGAAAATTTCTTGCATTTCCAGCCACTTGATGCTAAACTAGTCAGGGCAAAACCTAACCGATGGCTAATAGCACCGTGTGCCTGTTTGTGTAATAACAAAGGGAGCGCTGTTAATGGATTAAGTATAAAGAACTACAATAAAGCCACAAGATCCCCATTATGCAAATTTCGGAGGCATTTAAGAGGTGACATGGATTTTTTTTTCAAGATATACATACCGATTTTCTCGAACTAGATCAGTATTATACACAATCACTTTCAATCATTCTTGCTAGGCATATTGGTGGTCAATATGGCTTTAAAAGGATTTCAAATACAAGGACACAGACAAACAACAGTTCAATAATATTAAACATGCAGCTGTGACAGGTGTACCTTCAATCATCCCCACACCAGATTATATTATTATCCAACCGGAGAATGATATAAGTCATCGAGTACCAACTGATAAGCATCTATTCTCTATCATCCGGTAGACAGGGCAGGGCGGGAAGTTATTCGTAAAAACATCTTCATTCTCAGTAGCTTTACACACTCCAGGGGCAAACAAAGGCATGGTTATACAAGACACATGGGGCGGATGTCATATGAGTATCTGTATGTGATACTATCTATGATAAATTATA